ACCAGCACACAGGCACCAAGGGAAGGTAAAAAGGGAAATTTCCTGCCTTTGCACATGGCAAAAGCCTCAGCACAAGGTCACAGCAATGTCACAGCAGCAGGGAGAGCTGTGGCACTTAAGGAGGGCTGCAGGAGGAGAAGAACTCTCAGCTTCTCAGAAGATGAAAAAAATTGCCAAGAAGGGAAAGATTGGCAATACATGGTGTGGAACTGGCCTCCAGAGGAGAATCCCTTCTCCCTGAGCACAGCACTCAGCAGCAGACCTCAGACTGCAGGGCAATATGACACTGTTTGCTGCAGTTTTCTTCAAGTATAAAATGTGTTTTCTTGTTTTTTTTTAATTTCTCCATCTGACCACTTGTACTTCAATTCATTTTGGCGCCTCAAAAAATCAAATTACATTCTAAGAATCCAAAAAGCAAACTAGAGTTGTGCTTCACCTGGTTGTAGCTACTATTCTTCACACTTTTAGGACAAGTGAGGGGTAAAATGACAACTGTATGAGACCAGAGGAGCATTTCCCTGGAAGAGATTTTTTGGGAATGGCTACAAAGACATTTACAGACCCACGAAATTCCAGCAATTCCTGCTGTTTGGTTCTTCATGACTCAAACCTGAAGCAGCAGAACACACCCACAGCAGGTCATCATCATCCACAGTGACAAATTTACACAAGATTTTTGCCTTAAGCTATGAAAAATCCAACTTCTCGTTTAACATTTTGTCTGAAAAATAACTGAAGTAACTCAGTGGGAAAAGAAGCAGCCACAGATATAAATGACACTTGTTAATAGATAAATGATATTTACAAAAGCCAAGAAATTAAAAGCTCCTGTTCCAAATGTACAGCTAAATATTTACTTAGAGGAATTCACAGTAGAAACACTCAAGTGTGGCTACTGAGGATTTTATGTGGGATATTATTCAGAATGCACACTTTATTACTAACATGCATGTTTTCTACTGCATGGGCTACTGTGAAATTCCTATGGACACATGCAGAATAAACAAAACCTCCCTGAGAACTGGCATTCTAAACCACTTGGAGCACCTAAAAGCTGAAGACTACTTATAGAAAAGCCAGAGCCTCTGTGGGAAATGCAGTCCTGCATTTCCTGACTTGCCCAAATGTCAAACACATTGACTGAGTCATGTCAGTGAGCCACCTGATAGCACAGAGGTAACTGGGTAGGAAAACCAGACAAAAAATAGATCAGAAACATCCCTGGAAGAGTTCAAGGCCAGGCTGGATGGGGCTTGGAGCAACCTGGGATAGTGGAAGTGTCCCTGCCTGTGACAGGTGGTGGAACTAAATATCTTTGAGGTCCTTTACAACCCCCACCATCCTGTGAGTCTGTGACAAGAATTCTGAAGAAGCCCTGAAAAAAAACTTACATGAAACACTTGCCTGAAAAATGCTTTAATTCGAGCCAAATGATTTCATTCCTCCAATTTCCAAGATCTTCTCTCAGAAATCAGGCAAATTCAAGGAGCAACACATGCTGCACAAACTATTTCATCCTCTCAGGTTGTGGTGGTTCTCCCTACTCTGTGGAAGAAGAGTTCTGCTTTACTTCACTGGCTGATATATCAAGGGTGCTGTGAAAAGTCTTTAGCAAAAGCCTTCAGTGAAATTCAGGCCAAAAAAAGAAACAGCAGGATATTAAGGGGAAAGTAAGCTTTCAGTAGAACAGTCACTGAGTTTGTCCAAAACAGTTCCAGTTCTAAGAAAAAAAGAAAGACCTTTAGCCTTATCCTAATCTTCTTCCTTCCTTGAAGCATCTGTTACAGATTTCCCTCACTCCACAATAGTTTTAAGAAAAAATAACCCAAAACCTAACTCAGAGCAATTCCTGGCTGAAGAAGAAAGACAAAGAAGTATTTAGTTATAGCCATATTTTTAGTATTACAGCTTTCAATACAGCCTAATGTCAATGTTAACACAGAAGCAGCCCATTTTCAATACTGAACAAGGACTATGGAATTTTTGGGTTTTTTATACAGATTGTTTGAAGGGCCTCTTGTCATCTTATTCATTTATTGCACAGATCATCTCCTCCCACAAGCAGTTGTGCAATCTCTCCGTGGCAACGCAGCCAATTGCTTAGTGTCCCAATATTCCTTTCCCATGTATTTACACTGCCTGAACATAATTCACTAGCTGGGGATAAACAGGAATTACTATCATCAAGCTATGCTCTCTAGGTCACATTTTGAGAATCCATGCTGTAGGAAAATAATTAAGTGAAGATACATCTACCTCTGAGCTGCTCATATTAAAGTTTAAAATTGCTCTGCACTCAAGCATTGCCACCTGTTCTTTCATTTTAATTTTAAAAATTCTGAATCCCTTTAATGTAAACCTGAAAATGCTTAAATCCTGGAAATATGAGCATTCACCAACCACAACAATTACTCTCCTATTAAATTCATGAAGATATATGAAAGAATGGTACAAAGATTAAAGGGTATTATAAAGCCAAAAATATACATGCATGTATATTATGTACTACAACTCTGTGTTTTCAAACCACTGTCTCCACTGTGTCTAGAGAAGGCACACATTTCAATTAATAATACATCCAGGCTTGATTTTCAGTTGTAACTTTTCAGGAGACTTTACCCTTTCAGGCATGATATTGTAACAGTCCTGAACTTCTACTTTCATTAGAAGCCATCAATCAACTTTCTTTCAGTAAAAACACATGTTCACTGCAGACCACAGAAATTTTTAAACAACAAAAGAAAGCTCTAATGCATATATATGTTTATGGCCACAAAAAGATAAATCAAATCTTGTCCTGTACTTATCAATTATATAAAAATGGCTTTTTAACATCCAGCCTGAAGTCCAAAACAATTTTACTTTTCTTCCAACACTGCGAATTCACACTTCATCTCAGGGCTTTGGATTTCCTAAGCTATAATACCAACCAAACCACTTATCCTTTAAACTCTGAGATACCTAAAAGGTTCTGCCTCCAGAATGCTTCTCCATTTCCAGGCAAGCATTCCTTGTCCCTTGCTATCCCAGGGAAGGCAACCATCTGACATGAAGCTTTTATAAACAAGGTGCTTTGAACTTACAGTAACAGATGTGCTTAATTTTAAAATGTTGTATTTACTTAAACCCACGTACAGTTATCATGTTGCAAGCTTTCCTTTTTCTTTCAAATGCTTCTTATTAATTTTTACCCTCAACTTTTGGCCTGATTAAGGTCTCTGTGGTGAAGCTTAGAGAGAGAAGACATTCTGGTTAAAAGTGACAGACAGTTGTTTCCATTCTCTAATCCTTGAGATTTTTATTGGCTTATTAAATATGTATACTTCGAATGAGATTTCAATTATCCTGGTATATAAATCATCCTTTTTTTTTTTCTTTTTTCCCTCTCAAAGAAAATTGACTACTGCCATCTCCTGGTCACACGTTTTCAGCTCACAGACACAGCTGGACGGTGCCCAAATTCCTTGTGTACATGCAGAGGTAAAAACAGGTAAACACAGACCTGCACTAAGTTGTGCCACTTCAGCTCTGGAAGCTTTTCCACTAATTATCCATAGATAATTTTTACATTATTCATAACTTTCTTCATATGCAAACCACGGTTTTGAAATTAGGTTCCAAGTCCCACGACCAATAACACTGGCCTGGGGCTTTTCTTACCACTTATAAATATTTGAAGCAGAATAATTCCCTCAGAATTCGATGAAATGTTTTTAAAAAATTAAATGGAAGAAGTTCAAAGAATTATTTTTAAAAGGGCTTGAAGGAAGAATTTCTCAGTGCTAGGGTGGAGAAATTATAATTGCATATATTGTAGACAGGCAGGTTTTTAGATTCTTGTTCTTACAATGTGAGATTAAAACTGCTACACATCTCAGGGTAGCACCTCCACAAACTTCTTATCTGCTAAAACAATTACCCATGGCAGTCATGTGCAAAGTTTATGCTATTCCCACACTGACTTGAACTACAATAAACAAAAGATATTCTCTCCCTCTCTTTCATCATCCTGAACACCTTTACAAACACTGTTAAGCAACCTCCAAAAATAGCAGAGATAAAAATTAGTGTCCTTCAGAGCAGAAAATCTTTATCTGTTACACACCAGCTTGAAGCCCATCTCAAACCAGGTCATTTTAACATTGAAAATATTTTTTTTTTCCACATTTGCAGGATCTTAACTTCACATTATCACCCTAGGACACATTCAGCTCTCCTGCAGCACTCCTGTGTTTTCTCATGCATATGAGCCACTCCCTTTATCACAACATTATGAACATCTCATAAAGCAATTAAGATTCAGTTAAGTACAGAAAATGCACGTTGCAATGCTCTTGGCAAATCCAAATTTAAATAAATACTTAATTGCCAAGATTCTCATGACTTCCATACAGATACAGTTCACAGAATCATAGAATGCATTGGGTTGGAAGGGAACTTAAAGCTCATCCTGTTCCACCCCCTTCCATGGGCAGGGACACCTTCCACCATCCCAGGCTGCTCCAAGCCCCATCCAGGCTGGTCTTGGACATTTCCAGGGATGCAGGGACAGCCACAGCTGCTCTGGGCAGCCTGTGCCAGGACCTCCCCACACTCACAGAGAAGAATTTCTTCCTAATATTTTATCTGACGCCATCCTCTGTCAGTGTGAAGCCACCGCCCACTGTCCTGCCACTCCATCCCTTGTCCCAAATCCCTCTCCAGATCTCTTGGAGCCCATTTGACCACTGGAAGGGACTCTAAGATCTCCCTGGAGCCTTCTCTTCTCCAGGATGAATTTCCAATCCTTTCAGTGCACCCCAACAATAACATACCTGTGCACACATACAGCCAAAACTTTGTACACGTGTATAACCTCTGTATAGAGAAATGTCTGGAAATGTAGTAGCAATGAAAACCAAATTTTAAAAACTCAGCACTAGTATACAACAGTATACAACAATACTTAGAGGTGATGTGCTTAACTGAGAGAACTCTGCATATTGACACTGATTTACCTTCTTGTTGCATCTCCTCAGATTTCCTTCTCACAAAGATAACTCGGGGTCTCACAGCCTGAACGTGTGCAGCTCCTTGACTTTCCTCCTAGGTATCATGCATTAAAATCACATTACAAATCTCACTTTTGATGTAAAAGCACAGCAAGATTACACTCAGCTTCAAGAAACATCCAAAGAAGTTTTTAAAGATTCATTAAACATGTGCACTTGTTCTCCCTACATCTGCCTTCAAGAGAATTCAGCTCTGAATTAGCCTATTACAGCTATTCCCTCTAGACAAACATCCTGGGAGCAGCAGGAATGGATGGAAAAATGGCATTTTAGACCTGGAGACACAGGAGACTTTCAATTTATACTCAAAGCATGTAGTGGAAAGAACATAAAATTTCCCTGGCTTTTTTCAATACCCAGGATATCTCCCTAGGTATTACCCTCCTGACTAGTAAGAGAAAGATGAAAGAGAAAAGAAATATAAAAATTTCAGCACACAGGTTGGAAAACACAAACCAAAGCTAAAATTTATTTCCTTAGCCATGTTTTTAGAACTGGTTGCTCCAAGCCCCATCCAGGCTGGTCTTGGACACTGCCAGGGATGGGGTAGCCACAGCTCCTCTGAGCACCCAGTGCCAGGGTCTCCCCACCCTCACAGGGAAGAATTCCTTCCTTATCTCTAACCTAACCCTGCCCTCTGGCAGTTTAAAATCACTTGTCCTGTCACTATGTGTCTATTGGAAGACTTAAGCTTTCTCTTAAGACAGAGAAATTTAAAGCAGACAAGATGAGAAAGAGTTGAGGTTATTTTCTGAGAGCATGAAGGTCTCATGGACACTGACTGAAGGGTGCCAACATATTAAATGAATATTAAATGTCAGCAGCGTAAGAGTTCTCATGGCTCCATCTGAAGTGTTTTGGTTTTTTTTCTATTGGATTTGTAATACAACAAATTCAGTTTAAACTGAACCGAGCTGCAAACAAAAGTTGAGAGATAACAGAGATTCATAACCTACAATTCTGCATTCCTGAACATTAAAAAACCATATCTTTTGAAATACTAAAAAATGAAAGCTAATGAGAATACCAAAGTGACAATCCCACTTGAAAAATGTAGATTGCATAAAAACATCCATACTTATAAAGGAATATTATGAAAATATTTTGCAACCAAGTGATTTTCTAAGATTTTAACAATGCATTTGGGACTTGAAATTATTTAGATTTACCATCTCCAGAATGTGTAGCCACGCAAATATGACTTCAATGTTCCTGTGCCTCCCATGATCAAAATGATTTATTTAGAACAGGAAGAGCTCAGCTTCCTCTAAGTTATTCTCTTGCTTCTTAGAGCTAAGACCATGGGGGCAAAATGGCCACAAATAACAGTCAATTCCTGTATTGTTGCACAAGAATGGACAGGAGGGGTCAAAGTAAAGATGCATTTAGTCTGGCTTTCTGTCTAACAGTGGCTAAAAGCATATATAAATCTCAAAAAAAAAAAAAAATCTAATGCCAGAAATGGAAGAGCAGCCAAGGAATTTGGGTAGATAAGAAAATTCCTGTATTACTTAAGCCATTTGTTTTGGACTGAGTGACCACACAGACTTCACTCTTCATGACTAAAAGGCATTTGCTCCTGCTCTGTGTGAAAACTCAGTGCTCTTTCTGCTGGTGAAAACCTGACCTACACACCAGTGCCAGGGAGCAAACAAATCTGGCAGCTCCACATCCCTGCCAAACCTCCCTGGCAGGAGGATCCTGCTCACTCAGGCTGCAGAAAGCACCCAGGCTGTGCCACCACCTCCCGAGGCCAAGGCCAGCAGGACACCATCTGAAATCCTGCATTTGCTCAGGTCTCTCAGCAAACTTTGCTCCTCAATAGATTTGTCTTCTGCCTTTGTATGTGTGGGATACAGTTTGATTTCAGTGAAGGCAAACACTGTCTGGAGATGAAGAACAAGATGTGAGAGTCAGTGACTAACTTGTGAGGAAATCCTTCAAGAAGTCTGAAGTGATTGCTCCCTTAAACACTGCACAGAATGAATGAATCATCCTGAAAGCCTCAGTAGCTCTTGCTCTCTTAGCTGGTGTAATGCTACCAGAAAATCTGTCTCCTGCAGGCAGGTGACAAGGCAGATCCAAAGGCAGAGCTGAACACAGATGCCATCCTGAATTAAAGCAGGGGAAAGCTTCATCCTTCTCACAAGGTAGATAAGTGCTGTCACAACAAGCTGTCAAATCACCTGGTACAGGGGTTATTTTTTAATTTCAGAGAAGGATGTAAAGATCTAATAGAGGATCTTACATCTTACATCTTTCCTGGATGGAGCAATCACTTTTAAGTATGATCACTTCAAAGAAAAGATAGAAAGTTATCCTGTGAGAAAATAATGTAGAGTTAAATGAGGAATAACCACACTCAGAAAAAACCAAACCCAACAAAACCACACAAAGTTCTGGGGTTTGATTGTGTGGTTTGAATGGAGGGTGAGTTTTATATGCCAGCAGGCAAAAAAAAAAAGCCACACTAAGGGTTCAGATTCAAGAAAAAGTTTCTAAAGACAAGATAAGATAATGTATAACTACCTACAGATAAAGGATAAGATAATAGATAACTATCTGTATTCCTTCTGTGAAAGGCACATGTGTTACCCTCTCTGTCCCTATTACTTTTGGCTAGAATCCACTTTTGCCTGTGAACAGTAATTCAAAGAAAGTCTGTTGTAGTGAGCTCAAAGTAAAAGGCTCAAAGTAACATTAAAAATCTTCTCTGAAGATACAACACATCACTTCAGGTGACAAATTTAAAAACTGCTCAGACAGCAATGGCACATCAAGGCTAAAAAATATAAACCCAAAGGAAGTTTAATGCAAGACAATTTAGATTATTTTAATACAAATAAAACATCAAATACAAAAAAAAATCAGGGAAGGACAGAATTTAACTATGAATACAGCAACCATGGTAAGTATATGCTTTCAAACACACTGTGAAGCCTCACATATTAGAGAGCAGTCTGCCACCTCATTTTTAGCTTTTGCCACTCGTTATTTGCATTTAGTTAGCAAATAAACCATCATCTCTAGGTAACAGCACATACTAATCAAGTAGCAAAAAATTAACTGTGAAGGCCTGAAGCAGAGATCAATAGGATGTTCCTCTACCTTTTAGTGCTCTGAGGTTCATCATCCTCACTGCCTTTCCAGCCCTGCCCCTGCTAGGACAAATGAAGCTCCTGGAATGCTGAGTGGGTTACAGCTCATGAGGCCAAATCTCTACTGTCACTTCCTCAGCCACATATCCAGGATGTCATCCTGCATTTGAAGGACTGTGCCCCTAAAACATGGGAATGCCCCAATGAGTGGTGGATAGGACTGGATCTTGTGAGACCACTGAAGCTGTGAGGAAGTGGAGAAAAGCTAAAAAAGAAGGTCTGAGCTTTAAAGAAGAGATTTTGTAAGGATTTGCCACAGGAAACACAGCCACCTTTACTGCACACATGCACTTTTCAGCTGAACGTGTCACTTTAATGCACCAGTTCTGTGATGTCAGGCAGGACAGTGAGAGAGGAAAGTTTATTTTCCCAGGTTTCAGTTTGCTCTTTCTAACTAGGCACAGGAAAAATCCTTTCAGCTCACCTGAGACAGATCCTCTGCGGGTGGTGTCATTCTGCAGCATGGCTGGGCTGCTGGCAGGGCAGGATTTGAGCCTGGCTGTGACTCCAGTTCAGCCAAAAGCATTGGACTAGGACTTGTATCTGCATCTCCCAGAATTTCTGCTGAGAGAAAAAAATTCCTTCATGAGCTGGAGCCATAATCTCCTGGTCAACTTATGTGACAGAAAGTGCAGCCTTTCAAACTTCCAACAAGGGGACATGCAATGTTAAAGAGAATGATTTCCTCCTTACATGGCTCATTGTATACACCTTAAATTGCTCTTGAGGGGATAAAAATGAAATAAGAAATACATGACTGTGGAAATTGAAAAAATAAATCAGCTTTATCATCTGCAGATTTCTAATGTGGCAGCATTTGAGAAAGCTTCAGAGCTGTACAGTTCATCATACCATTATGTGCTTAATGAGCTTTATCACACTTACTGAAAAGAAATTGGAAAAGCTTCTTCATTAAATGTTTCACTCCAGTATGAACTAAAAGAAACCTGAATATAGTCTCTTTTAAAGGGGCAACTTGCTCTCTAATCCAACATTTGTCATGGTTTTGCAGCCTCCAAGTGTGTAAAACATCTTTATGAAAAATGTACTGACAGCTCCTGAACTAACTTTAGCCTTCTGCTATCACACAGAGCCAAAGAATGAATTTTAAGCCTAATTAACTATAATCATTGGTTAATTAACTGTAATTATTGTTCACTTTAAGACTGCATGTGCCATATTTCATTTGCATGTTGGTTTTTATATCGCTGACTTTTAGCATTGAAAACAAGGATTTATAAATGACTGATCATCAAGATGCTGTTATGTATCCACATGAGCAACACCTGCTCCATCCTACAAATGGACACTGTGTAAAACAACCTACAGACACACAATCCCCAAAATTCCTACAGACTTCTGTGAGTGACTCATTCTGACAGAGGAAATGAGTATCCACTGCAAGGTTTCATGTGCAGAGATGCACACCCTGAAATATGTGAAGTCTGACACTCAGTGTAACTATTTAGAATTTACCCTGAAAATAATTACCAAATAAAATGATGGCCCATTATAGCATTGTAGCTGTTGTGGCTATCAGGAAATACCTGACTTGCATTGAAGGACAAGCAATCACATCCCAGTGCAGAGAGAAAAAAGGTTTGGAAGCAAATGGAAACAATCACAGATCATTCCTTTCACCCTTCACCTGACCCTCCCTCCAAAACCAGATTGTTTTCTGTTCAGTGTTGACTTCAGCAACAAAAGGACTTAGAAACAAGGATTTCTGTTCCTCCTTGGTATAAAAACAACCTTTGTCTTGAAAGCAGATATCCAAGCTTTTATACAATGCTGTTTCCTTAGCAATGCAACAAATTACTGTGCTGTGTTCAGAGGTGGGGAGGGAGGGAAGCTAAATTAAAAATCATCAGAATGCAAAAGAACTCAGTCTGGGATTATAAAGATTATGTAAAAGGACAGGACACTGCCTTATGGTAGTTAGTGCAGGGCACTTGCCTCCTTTCAAAAATATGCTGCAATAAAGACTAAAAACAACACTACAAGATTTAGAAATAAGCTTAAAAATCAGTAGAGAAACACATTGCTGGTGGATTATCATCACATGCAGGAGCTGGTTTGAAAAGTGTTAAGAAATTTACAGGACAGCTAAAGGGCGTCCTAAATTGAATTAAATACATTTTAAAAAATATTTTTAAAGATACAAGGAGATACAACCCTGTTGTGCCAGATACAGCCATGGACAGTCAGAAGGACAGACAGACACAGGGACAGGTTCTCCCATTAACAGGGATCTTCCAACTCCATGGTCCTGAGCACCACTACAGACTTACAGAAACAGAGAAATCCCAGAATGGTTTGAGATGGAAAAGACCTTAATCCTCATCCTGTTCCATCCCTCTGCCATGGGCAGGGACATCTTCCACTATCCCAATCCCAACCAAGCAGGACTGGAACACTGCCAGGGATCCAGGGGCAACCACAGCTTCTCTGCCAGGGCCTCAGCATCCTCACAGGGAAGAGTTTCTTCACCACATTTAATCTAAATCTCTCCTCTTGGGAAGAGTTTCCTTACCACATTTAATCTAAATCTCTCCTCTTCAGTTAAAACCATTTCCCTTGTCCTGCACTATCTGCAGATGATCTGATCACTGATTTATTGCTACATCAGTGTCCTTAGTGCTGACTGACCTCTACCAACACAGAGTCAAACAAGTGACTAGGAAAAATCTCTTATCTCAGGAAACCTCATGCAACCAATTTCCAAACAACCTTCAACAAACTACTTTAAAAGAAGAGTTTGATAATATATAAAGTACCAGAACATATTTTCAAGACTGACACTGGTGTAGTTGTCCAAAATGTTAGGTCACAGCTGGTTTAAAAGGTTACTCTCTGTGTGACCAGTTCAAATGTTAATCACTTCAAAACCAAGCAAATATTTTATTTTCTTCAAAATTGTTTTTGCTATGTGTTAAACACATTTAATTTCAATGCACTTCCTACTGGTCAAGGGTTAATAATGTGAGATAAGCTTCTCTTGTCGAATTCATAAATGTGAAAATTAAAAGGACAGAAAGCCAGCTGTTTGATCACTTTAATTTACACAACTTTTGATGAATCAGTGCAACCACGTTTGTGTTGCAACAGCTTAGTAATTATTTCAGTTTAGTTTAAACATATTTAAAACTACAGTCAACAAAATAAAGACTTTCTGCATGCTTGCATCAGCTACATTAAACAATTATAGAAGCACATTTTCAGATAACACAAAACCTGGGATAAAAAATAAGGAAGAGAAAGGATGGAACACTGCTTTCAGCACTACTCAACTGAAATAAAATAATTTCCCTGCTTTACCAACAGCAGCTCCCTGCTTTGTACAAGATGTTTGTGCCTCTGCTATCCATCTGGGAAAAAAATAAATTTCCATATCATTAGAGGAATATATGAAGCTAATATATATTGCATTTATGAGCCACTGCAGTAGCACCATGATGGAGTGACAAAAGCAAAGAGGAGCAGTGCTGAGCAAGGGGACAGAGAAAAGCAGCTTGCAGTGCTCGTGCTAACACTTGTCCAATGGAAACTGCCTCCATCTGTTACTCAGAACTGAATTTGACTTAAAAAGATAAGATACACACTTCACAAGTTAACTTTTGTACAGGCAAGTGGGTATTTGCCATGATTTTTATTCCAATTGTAGGAAATTGCTAAAAAGAGTGAAGACAAGACTTGAATTAAATCCAGTTCTTGAAAGAGGAACACTAATAATTTCATTGTAGGAATTGCCTGTAAATATTGGATTTTGAATGCATGGTCAGAAATTATTTCAGATTCCGTTATGGAAAATGCTCAGAATTCACCTGAATATCCTAGAGAAGAAATAAAGATCTAATTGTACCTCCAATTTGGGCAAGCTGCCCTGGAGATGCAGAACGGAGACCCTGGCGTGGTCTGTTCCTAGAGCTCTGAGCAGATGGATGCTCCATAAAAATGCAATTTCCCATCAGGATTCTCTCCTGTGCTCTGGACAGCCTTGGCCTCTGACCTTCACTGACCTCCCCAATGCTGCCATCAGAATCCTGCAGAGAACATCAAAACCACAGCACATATAAAACCACAGCAAGTCTTTCAAACCCAGGCACTGTTTTCTAATTACATTAACCCTGAAAGCATTTCCAAACTTAAGTTTATTCTATTTGCATTGGAGGAAGAAAACAAGCCATGGAGATATCATCTGGGTTTGAAATTAAGATCTACACTTATCAGAAGGACAGAAAAAAAACACTTGCAGCCAAACTTCATTTATTTTGTTAGTGGTATCTCTACATGATCAGAACCTATGTTACATTTTTAGCACATGAAGCCTTGGCTATTACAGATTTGGCCACTGTTGACTGCCTGACCTTGAAACACTGGCAGCATCTAAAAGCTATTGACTCTCTGCACTGCATGTCAGATAAAAGCTTCAATTTTCAAGTAGGTTTGGAAGGCACTAAAAATAGGGATGGTTCCCTGGATCCTGACTTGTAAAGCTGCAGGTTAAACCTAGCTTGGTTCCATGTCAGAAAATAGGTGGAATACACACAACATACACACACACACACACACGTGTGCACAGTATCACTCTCAGGCCACACAGGGAACATCCAGGAGAATGCTGATTCTCCTCTGAAGGAGAAGAAACACCTGCACACACCTTGACAGAATCTGGGAGGAGTTTATGAATGCCTTGGATGGACAGACTGAGTGGACTGTGACTATGGGAAAGGGAAAAAGCAAAGCAGAGCTGCATTTATAACTGCAGTGCTGATGAGAAAATGTCACTGCAATTACAGGCAGACATGGGAGTTAACACTGGAAAAAGCTTTTCACTAAATCCAGCCACCAGAGCTCATTAGCAAAAAAAAGACAGACAAAGGAACAGCCAAGGAGCTGAGTCAAGTTGGTAATTATTTAGACTAAACTGACCAAGACAGAAGGAAGAAACTGCATATGCATCAGTAGCATCACAAAAAAGATCTGCTGTAAATAAATGTGTTCACCAACCATTGCTGCAACATTCAAAGTTCATTTCCTTCAAACATTCCTCCAGCTATGTCAGTTAGAATGAACACCAAACAGTCCAAACTGCTATTTTCCAACACAGAAATAACTCAAGATGTGTGACAAAAAAAAAACTGTGATGCAGATAATTACATTTTTCTGTGAGTCTCTTTTTTTCCTGCCAACTGAATAGGAATTTTTGAGGTTTTGTTCCAAGATCAGTATCAACAGCATATGCAAAGTACATGCAAACACTTCCTGAGTTGTTCTTCATAGCTCCCTAAAATACTCCTGTGGCTGTTAAATGCAGTGTATTTGTACTGTTGAACATTCCACCTGTATTGCTGAAGTGACAGAAAATTCCCTGTCCTCCAAGTGACATGGGGACAGTCACATACTTGGAAAATCAGGTACATATGATGTCCAGTTTGTTTATAACACTGAGACTTCAGTGTTTCTTAGAAGAGTTTTACACAAGAATGAAGCCAACAGAAGTGGGATCACTTGCAGCAGGGGATAAAGTGTATGAAGCTGTTCTAAAGCCAACAGGAAGAATAAATTTGGGATATTTTATCTACTTTTGAGTAGGAAAGAATCACTTCAAAACTACTGTACTGGAAAGCCAAGGACTGTAAGTTACCTCAGAGTGGTCTATTCTTTCTTGTACATAAACAGGTGCTTGATTTAATTTGGTTAAAAGAGCCAGGACAGGATCCCTGTGACAGCCTTTATCCATTCTTCTCACCACCTGCCCTTCACTTGGAGGATCATAATCCTAGAACAAAGAAACAAATAAAAAAAAAAAAATCCACATAATACATGCTCCAAAATTGTTTTTTGGTAGGAATTTGAATCATTCTTACTTTAGTTCACAACTAAGCTTTTTTTAACAGTAAATTTCCACACTGAAAAATTATGTCATGTAAATTCAAGCATTTAAAAATAAGCAAACAGATGACACACTGCTTTCTTTTACCCACATACATGACATTCTTTATTTGATACGAAAGACTGCAATACTTAAAGAGGAACAAGGCCCTTCAGGTCTCCAAAGATCAGGGAAATAGTTAAATCCTCACACATCCTTTGCTAGCAACAATCTGGCTGCAGAGCTGCTCTCACCAGCAAGGAATTACCTTCCTCAACCAAACAGCCTGGACTGAGGATGGAGAAATACTAGAAAAAGCTGCAATCCAGCTGATAAAGAGAGGGAAGAACATCTCAGCAGGCCAATGTTCCTCTGATGAAGAAACTTTAAGTTCAACTGTTATCAGAGTTTTAAGCCCAGAGTTTAGGGGAGAAGTGTGGCTGACAGAGGAGGCACCTAAAGATCTGCCAGTCCAGGACAGTCTCACAACTGTGGTGGTTGCTTTTGGGGGGTCCTGTGCAGAGCCAGGAGCTGGACTTGATCATTCTTGTGGGTCCCTTGCAGCTGGGGATATTCTCTGATGCGATGACCTGAATGAAATCATGGGTGCTCATGGCAACCTCTGTACAGGGAGGTGTGCCCAAGAGTGTGCAGAAATGGGTAGGAAGGATAGGCTGGAGAAGAGGACTCCTGCTGCAGAACATTAAACTTGCCTTGTGGAGCTTGGAAGGGACCTCTGGAAGTTGTCTAGCCCAACCCAACTGTCCAAGGCAGCCCTTCTTCCAGTGCTTGGCCACTCCACAGTAAAAACATCTCTTATGTTTCAACCAAATTTCCTGAATTTCATCCTGTGTCCAACTCCCTCTCATCTTTCACTGGCTCTTTCTTCCTTCTTTCCACCACATATTTATATATTGGTAAGGTTCCCCCAGAACTTTCTCTTCCCCACAATGTCTCCTGTAATTCATGTCACAGCTACATCTCACCAAGAGGCTTTACACAAAGTCAGAGAGGGACTAAGTCCAGGCATTTGAGGAATAGCAAAAGAGAAAAGGAATGGAGAATATCTTGACCTGGGAGGCTTCCAGAACCATGGACTACAGCAGATATTGGATAAGAAACTATTCTGATGTTTTAAGCAGCCTTTACTAACTCCAGCCTCAGCTAACCCACTTTAATAATTTAATCATGCAAGCAATTAAAAGATGGCTCAAAGCTGCAACAGCTCAGAGCATAGCAATCAATCTTCTATTCTGTTTAAGATGCCTTAAAACTAGAAACAATAAAGAAATGAAAGTGCATAATAGCTCTCACCTACAGAAGTATATGAATACTTCTGAATATGAACTTTTTTAAAACATAGATTAGTCTGAATAATGTGGTTTTTTTTTCCTTTGGTGTTCTGAAATTCCAACACTCTTTGTGAGTATGCAGTTTAAAAGTGTGAATTTAGAAAGCTGCTGGGGGAAAATGTTTAAAGCAGATCCAATTTAGCAGGATGCCCAAGGTGGAACCTGCAATATCTGTGATTCTTTATGAAAGAGTTCCTTACCATTTCATTGGCATCTCGGAGAGTACTGGATAAGCTCTCAGTGAAGTTTGGAAGACACAATCCTCCTTCTGCTACAGCTGAAAAATATTTTATGTTACAACTATTAAAAACATTCAAGTTACATGACAGAAAACCCAAGCCACATTCTATAAGCACAACACTCTGCTTTAGTAAATTTGGAAATTCCTACTGCTGGATGTCTATTATAAAGACATATTTTCATATTTCTTTTCATATTCCTTACACTTTGCTTTCAATAGCAACTTAGTACCACATGGTACTTAAGAAAGACAAGCCCCAATTATTTTCCAAGTTGATCTCATGACAAAAGAGCAGATTGGCTCTTTTTTCTTTAATAAACAGCAGCATTTTGTTCAGCGACGGGAAAAAGAACAACGAGGTCTTGTCAATCTTCACAAACTGCAATTCAATGCTTGCAGCTTTGCAAAAATAAGAAATAATTCAAATTCTAATGTCCACAGCTGGTTACCTGCTGCAGGCAGTGGATGTCCATAGGGGAAGATCACCTCCCCTTCTGAGAGGGGTCTGTCCGTGGTCTCAGTCCCTGTGGGGGTGAGGCTGCTCTCCTGGCTGGACACCCCAGAGCTCACCGTGGGCACAGGTGATGGCACCAGGGCAGGGCAGGGAAGGGGCTCAAAGGGCCTCCCTGGCAGCTGCTGAGATGGGGAAACCAAGGCCTCTGGCTCCTCATCATTGGCCACTGACATCTCCCTGCAAGGACAGAATGTGCTCTGTGAAAACACCAAGATACACTCAACAGTGCAGACCAACACCTTAATTCAATACTGAAAAGAAACTAATTCTAGTTATTTACTGAAAAGAACTAGTTCTGAAAAGAAACTAATTTGGAACTATTTTTTCCAATGCAAGAGCACAGCACTTTACAGAACAGTTCAAGAGTTTACATGGTTAAATAATGTTATGTGTGAGTTTCTGGTTACAACTAAAATTACATGTATATTCCCATATACCATGTGTATATATACCCATATTGCCATCTGTATTAAAATTACCATATGTATTCCCAAGGAGGTAACACAAAAATTTAAATGCTAATAACACAATATTTCACTGTCACTCTATGTGTTACTGTTACTGAAAAGTGTAGGAATACAAGTTTCCTAAGTACAGTGTTCAGCAGGGCAAAGAATAAGGGCTGATAAACCCTGAGAAAGACCCTGATTTCATATTTTTCTCTTAACTGCCCTTCAAGCAATTAAAAAAAATGAAAACCCAATCCTGGCTTATCGCAAATGCCTCCTGATACATACAGTAAGCATTTCTTTCTGCTGACTTTTTGAGCACATATGTAGAAAGAATACAGGTATTTCAGTTTTTAAGAAATTGTGTAGCCTCTTGAACTCACACAGTCTTAGGACAGAATGGTTCTTCAGGGACAGGACTGGGGTTCTCTTCTTCCAGAGGAAGTTCTGCACCATCCCATGGGTTTGGAAGCTTTGGACTTTGCCTTTGTTCAGCCTGGGAGCCCCATTCTGAGGCAGGAGGGCTGGGGGTGGCTGCTGGGGGAGGGGTGGTCACAGGGGTGACCACAGGAGTGACCACAGGAGTGACCACAGGGCCTGTGGCAGCTGCAATCTCAACTCCTGCACATAGAAAACCAAATTTCAGATCAGAAAGAAAAGCAGGAAGTGTATCTGAGACAGAGAGAGTCAAGTTCTACCAAGCACTTTCAGTTTTGTGATACTTTTTGATAGTTATAAAGACTAGATAAAGAGTTGCTTCTTTTAAGTACTGTGCTGGCAGCTGAAGAAGATAGAATAAAACCTCAATTTCTTCCTCAAAGGAGACTGCTCTGCATTTAAAAAAAATCAAGCTGCTTTACTTGAAGAGTGTACATTTGATTAAATTAACATTACAAGCACAGGAAGGAGCAAAAGACAGCTATTTTTCTGATGTGAGAAATTGTGGAGGGGTTGGGAGGGGTGGAAATCACACAGACCATAGAAATGTGCATTAATTTTGAAAATAGAACTGTTACCAAATAAAAGATGTTTGCTTTCTATATAAATTAGCCCATAAATTTTTGTAGAACATGAGTTTCCACTTGAATTATAGCCTCAAGAATATTTATCTTGAGAGATAACATTTCTTTGAAGAAGAAAATTAAAGGCAGTAGATTAAAGCATATTTGCTACTTCTAAACTTCAATTATTATTTTCAATACCTGTTTCTTTAATTTTTTCATGTCCACGAACATCCCCACTCATCTCTGGAGGAGATGGAGATGAATCTGGAGTTTTGACCTGAGGCAATTCTTTTTCTGAAGGTGGTGTTGGTGGTGGTGTGGCCTGGGGTGTTGGCACTGGAGTAGGCAAAGGAGCCTCCTGGGGGGAAGAAAAATCATAACCACAGTTGGGATCTCTGTGCAGAATTCCTGCCTGCCCAGAGAGGGAAAGGCAGCTCATCACAGAACAGGAACAGCTGCTGCTTCCATGCATCTAACTCCTCCAGGAAGCTGCACCAGGACAAAATTCATTAAAACCAGTGAATTAAGCATTAAAATGATTAAATTGGGAAATCATTATGTATAGAACAGACCAGACCATTTCAGTTGGAAGGGAACTACAATTATCATCCAGTCCAATTGTCTGACCAATACAGGGATGACCAAAAGCTGGAATTTGTTGTTGAAGTCATGTCTCTAAAATACTGACAGGTTTGGGATACCAACTCTTAGAACCCTGGATGCTGAGAATTTTAAACTTTCTGGGTTAAAAGGCACAGACCCACAAGAAAATACTGTATTTGACCTGAAGACATGGAGAAGGCTTCCAAAATTGATTGATAGCAATGGGATTATGGGTGTGCAGCTTGAATAAAAGTGGAAAACTTAAGAGCTTAAAGTTTTAGAATATAGTAATATATATAAAGCAAGATAGTAGTTTTAAGGCTATTTGTTCTTCTTCATCTTCTTCATGAGTTTGGGTGGTTTTATCTATTAGTTAGAAAAGTCTGCATTGCTGACTTCAGGTGATTAGTTACTGAGTTAAAGGTGAAAATAATTTAGGTGTCATTTCTTAATTAGATAGTTTAGCCTTAAAAACCTTGTAAAAAAAGATAATTAACCATTTTGTAGCTTGTAAGTAGAATGCTGTAGAACTCACAGCTTGTAAGAGTGTGATATAAGTAAGAAATAATAAACATTTGAGTCTGAACGGAAAATATTGTCTCAAGTGCTTCCAATCCCAACCTTAACAGAGGCAAAAAAACCCCAAAAACCAACATTTAATGGTACCAACCACCTCTCCAGGAGGCCTATCCCATGCTTAACCACACTCTTGGTAAAGAAATGCTTCCTAATGTCCAGTCTACATATGAATTCTATTATTATATGGATTTTAATCAAGCATTTGAGACAATTTTAAACAAGAAAATACTTCATAACATGGATAAAACTGAGTCATAAAATTGATTTTATGGTAAGAAGAACCAGCTAAAAAGAAGATTACAAACAAAGTAATACCAAGACAGCAAAGCACTTAAAGAAGCACAAACAGAACTGGGATATTCCTTAAAAAGATGACAGCAATGGACATAAATCTGACAAGCAAATATGATGGCTGTTGCTAGACCTGCTGTGGAGGAATATGCTGGACCTTTGCAAGTTTCTTCCAGACTTTTTTTCTGAAATTTCATTAAAAAAAAAAAAACAAAAAAACAAAAACAAAAACAAACAAACAAAAACAAACAAACAAACCCACTAAAAAAAAACAACAAAAAAAAACCAAGGCAATGAGGCTATGGGAAGACTTCCAACTAGTTTCTAAAGAGTAAGTCCTCACGCTGATGATTTTTATTAAAATTTCTCATGGGAAGTGGAACCTGCAGGAACATTTGGCAGCTCAAACCCAATTGTGTGACATTGTGAACACCAATGAACTCAGTAACAGCTGAAATTCAGTTCTAGATAGGAAAATTCACAGTGGGAAGGGAGAAAACAAGAATGCATAAACTACATATTCAGGAACTTCTGCTATGAGCTGAGTAGAAATGGAAAAAGAAGAATTCAAAAACTTTGCTAGCTATCCTTTAACTTGTGCTATCATGCTACAAAATGTGGAAAGACTTTCAAAAACATAATTAGCTTCCTGGGATTCCAATAAAGGCAGGAGAGAATCACTACTACAGCTCAAGGCATTGAGGAAACCCCATCCTGGAGACCACACTATTATTAAAAATATCAATTAGCATTTTTAGTGTGTTACCTGTGCTTGAAACCAAGCTAAACTGGAAAACATCAAAGTGCTGCCCAACAGCAAGAGTCAAAAAATGGATGATTACTTTTTTTGAGGCTAATCAAAAAAAGGCCAGAGATGAGAAAACTCATCTCTTTAAGTGCACAAACATACATAGCAAGGAAAACCCAACCACTTCAGCTAAAGGATATTTCAGTTTAAGCTGACAGAGAAAGAAAAGGGAGATCAGTAAACGTAGAAAGGACAACAGAAGATGTTTCTGAGCATCAGAAGAACAAGCTGAGAGGAACATCAGGCCCTCCTCAATCTGTAATGGAGTGGAAAAGATGCTGGGGGGCCGAGGTTGAGCCCTCAGCAGTGAAACCTTTACTTTTGCCTATATCACCTCTTAGTCCCTTGCAGCAGGCAGGAGGAGATGTTTCAGGCTAACTGCACTGCAGCAGAACAGAATGACTGATCCCTCTTTCAACAAAGCCTTCCATAGCTGGATTTCCAAGCACAGCAATTTCCACAAGCATCCCAAAGACATTACACAACCCGAGATTGCAGCATAGTCACGTTGTTATCAAAGTAAGAGCCAGCTGTCATTTGATTATCAAAGGGAACACAGGAAATTATCTTGTATTACAGGAAGCTCTACTCGTCAATTAAGCATTTATTCAAAACTGAAGTCAAAACTCAGAAAGAATTAATAGTCATTTTAACAGATATTAAAGAATGGCTGCAAGCCCATAAGACCAAAAATAATATTGCTCTCAGCTTCCATTCCTTATGAGGAAATTAATTTCTTCATCTCTCATTGTTTGCAAGAAAGCAGAGTAACTATTTCTGGTTCAAAATAATATGAGCTATCTTTCAACAACATGAAATTAAGTACCAAGTCCATCAGAACTTCAGCAGAAAAGCTTGAATAAAATAGATCTTACCATCACTGAGGTTGTGCTGGGAGGAAGAGGATCAGGAACTGCTCTCTGAGCCTGGCTGTCTCCCAGCACGGTTGCAATGGTTTCACTGAGAGCTTCCTTCACAAAATGATTTATCATTTCTGAGTCCACAGGGACACCAGCATTGACAAAGAGCTGAAATCCTCCACCACCTGCAGCTTCAACTGAAAATGAAGGAATGTGAAGCACACAGCCAGGTCTCACTTCCTAAAATCCATGTACTGTACTGCAACCACTCACTGTCTATGGAATTTTAAATATTCCTTTGCAAAAAGTGATTTTTTTCACCTTCCAGATAAACAACAGTAAAGAAACAAATCGGGAGCATAAAAAAAAGGCAACAGCAAAGGACAGTGACACCTCAGGAGAAATGCTTTTCTCTTCATTCTCACACACTCACGAGAAGTAACTTTTGATATATCTATTTAAAAAAGGCAAACAAACATTACAGGCTCAGCAAAATGCCAAGTGTGATTTAGGTGGCCAATAACAGAAGGTGATTTGTACAGTGCTGTTATTCTAAGTCTTCTTTTTCTTTTAAATAATTTCTTTCAATGGCCTTGTAACAGTGGCTCTATCTCCACATAAATTCAGGTGTGCACTTCTGCTTTTCACAGTTTCACTGGTTCAGGATTATCCACCTTTAGGCTGAGGCAACAGCCACCTACACAGCTTGTTAAAATTAGCCAAAAATTGACATAACCCATCTGCAGAGAACAATAATTCCTACTTACCAATGCCAGGGGTTACAGTCTCACTGTCTTCACTCTTTATGGAGCTGCTAATGCTGGGCATCCTTTCTGTCTGAGCTGGGCACATCTCACTGATGATTTTTGCCATTACTTCTTGTTCCACCCTGGCAGAATAAAACCCATTTAAGTATCAGCAAACACCAAGACACCTAAAAGCACACAAAAGAGCATTCTTGACATAAAATGCAAGGCAGCTCAAAGGAAAATGGATAAGGGAATGGAGGTGAGAAAAAAAGAGGAGGATAATTAGGGAATCATTCCTTCTTCCATATATATTTTTTGCCACTTTGTTACATTGCAACTCACCAATTTATCAACTTGTTTTCTATAGTTTCTCTCCTTTGAATCAGTTCATCCAAAATATCAGCAGGCTGCTGAGGAACAGAAGCCACTGGAGGAAACACAGGACCATTGTATTGTGGTGAGGCAACTTTAAACTGGCCATTAAGCTCCAGAAGAGGCTCAAGGATTTCTGGAATTTCATCCTTCTCCTCTTCCTGATCCTAATAAATAAGCAGTAAATAAAGTTATGGAACATTTCTGGAAGGTAATGTCATTGAAGTAGCTGTCAGGTTTTTGCTTTAAGAATAAAATCCACATTTATGGATGTATGACAGCACACAAACCACATTCTCCCTCCTCAGTGTGTTGTAGTTAATTGATACAACTCTAAGCTTAGCAAATCATAAATCTGTAGAGGTATAAAGCCATAGGAACTGCTCAGTAAAACATGATTTGGCTCATATTTTCTGCCTGTGCAGCACAGGGCAGGGAGCCAGTGGCAATACTAATACTTTAAAAATTTACTTGTGACCTACATCAGGTTTCTTTAATGTCACCCCAGAAATGTTCCTGCTCTAAACAAAAAACTTTAGGAAACTTTCTACAGTTACTTGTTGGGTTAGGGGGCTGTTTGTTTGTGTTGGGTTTTGGTTGTTTTTCTTAAAATAAATCAAAATCGTTCTTTAAAGTCTCCAGTCTGAACAGACAAATTCACAAAAGTTAACGAGCATGTAGTCAATCAAAACTCTAATGAACTTGCCAGCACTGAAAACTAGACATTAATAGTTTACACATATGGCACACTTGTGTTTACACTTCCATTAACTTCAGCTGCTGAAAGGTAGAAGGTATTTCTGGGCAGTAATTCAGACAACCCTCACAGACATCTTGATTTTAATGTTAAAGTTCTATTCCTAAAATTTAGAGAAGTGACATGGTGAGTTAAAATATTTGGGTTTTCCCAAAGATGCCTCCTTCCTTTTCCCCTGGAGCACAAACACAGCACCAAGTCCCAAAAAAGCAGGCACTAAGCCAAAAAAATATTGTAATGTTTCCTGATGAATGAGAACCTGCAACCTTCACTTCTAATATTAAAAACAAATGTCTCTAATAGTAATATGACTCTCTAAGAAGAAAATTTGGCATGCCAAATGAAAGAGATGAGGAGCTGAGCCCTAAATTACCAGTGACAAATATGTGATGGTGCATAGAAGTTCACTGTAAATCCATATTTACTAAGATTAATCTCCAACACAGTGAAAGGAGAAAAAAGTCTCCTTTTCCCTTATATAAATTAAACGTACTTTTAACCCATAAAATACGTGTCTTTAAATTTTTTTTTTCATATTATCTATGAAAAGGAAAACAGTGAAAAAGTGAAAAGAAAAAAAAAAAGTGAAAAGAGAAAGAACAGAGAAAGGGGGGAAAAAAAAGTAACACTTCCCTGTATCCTTTCCCACCTCAGCATTAAAACTTCTCCTACCTTAACACATCTTAAAACTGTAGAGTCAGAGAGGTCCCTGATGGGTATTACACAAAGAACTACTGGGTCTTGAAATAGTGATAATCTTCAAAAAAGGGAGAAAGCAGGATATGTGTATTTGGGTGACAAAGAAAGATTTTTAAAGCATTCTAGGCATAGAAATGAGCAGAGAAGTTGAAGTCAGAAGGTCCTGGGTGCCTTGCAAGCTGCTCAGCAGCTCGAGCTGTTGGGGTATGTGTATTGAGAACAAGAATTCATTCTGACAGCAAATGTAAAGATGTCTTTGTCCAGCATTTCATTATGTATTTTCCTCTGCCTGCATTACTCTATAAATTTTCTTTGATGTTGCCTATTTAATACCTCTGAAAGTATGCAAAATACAAACATCTGGGTTAAATAAAGCAAGTGCATACAATACATCTTACATCTATTTAGTAACTCTGACAAACTTTTGCAGCTCTACTGCATTTCTAAAGTGTTTTATATTTTACAGCACACAAATCCATAACAATGCACAAAATCATATTCATTTGGGGGTGATATATTATCTCTGCTGAAATAAAAAGAATGTAATAGTCAGTATTTAATTATACAGATTGAACTTGAACATATATCAACTTATAGACCAATCCTGAATACTCTGCACTCAATTCTGCATTTTGCTTCCCTGGAGGCTGTTGAAAATATCTCTATCACAACCCCCAATCAAAATACGGCATAAATTAGAAAGTCTTTCAGATATGATTGGAATATTAATCACTGCACTTTTTTATAAAGTATCAAGCCAAAATTCTACTTCCCAAATTACATTCAGATAATTAAAAAAAAGAGTTTGAAATTATTAGATGTTATAGGTTAGTTTTGTTCCATTACCAAACATGTACATGCAGAGTCTTATTAAAGCCTCCTGAAATTTAAGCCATGAATTTCTTCTTAATGGATTTCTAAAGCAATTCTCAGGAGCAAGGTCAGGTTGCCTTGCAGGTGTCACCTGTGAGCTTTTGTCTGAAGAGAAGCGTAAAAATATCAATGTCCTGCCCAAGAGCATCAATGGGAAATGAGGGCTGAGGAAAATACATTTACATTTATAATACCTGAGCCCTGCAGGTTCCACATTTTGCTGTGGCATTCAAACTGGAAGCAAAAATTCTGAGAAAAAAAATCCCCTACCTTGCAATTAGGGCATATTCAGAGAGAGCAAAAAGTGCATTTAATCTGAAATCCCAGGGAGTTTGCTAAAGGAACTGCAGGATGTGGCTGCTTGTAAGAATTTGAGACCAGACTCAATAAATCTGAGAAAGTTGTGTGAGCTGAGCAACACAAGCTTCTCACTCTGAAATAATCCCAGAATGGTTTGGGTGGGAAAGGACCTCAAAGACCATTTTGTCCCAGACCCCTGCCACGGGCAGGGACACTTCCAGCAGACCAGGCTGCCCCAAGCCCTGTCCAGCCTGGCCTGGGATACTGCCAGAAAAAACAAACACAGAAAAACATAACAGAAACAAACAAAAAAGGAAGATATTTCACACAAATACTTATCTCCCTCAGTTCTAACAGAATTAAGCTTTCATAATAAAAGGGCAGTGGGGAGAAGACAACAAAAGCTATTTTTTTCTATAGCATTTTATGCACATACTTTCATGAATCTGAAGACTCTTTAATAACAATAACTTTGCTTTCTTTTGATGTCGTAAATACCCCTGCCACTCCAGAGATTGATTTTATGCTTCCCCATTGTGTTTGCCTTGCACATTTTTAAGAACATTGTCTGTGTGGTCATAGGCCAGACATATGTTTCACTTGGAACATTTTTGGTATTGTGGTTAAAATACATCCTATTGCCAAAACTAAAAGATAAAAGCAATCCAGGAAAAGAAAAAAAGAAAAGATGAGTAACTGTTATTCAAATAATAAAAATGTAACATTACAGCATTTTTTGATAGTTCCTAAAATTATTTCTTTAAAGCTTTTTTCTTGTGCTAACAGAAGAACAGTGTCTACAGAGATTTAACTCCTCCCCTCCAGTAACACAAGGTAATTTTGAAACTATAAATGAATCAAGCATTTACACACTTTTGGTAGACAAACCATCAAATTAGGGCTGTTTTAACAGACTGATAATGTTAGATATATTTTTAAAATGAGTTAATAATTTATCTGTAAGCACTAGGGCTAATATCTGATGTACACACTAATCCTGGGATCAGGAATACATAGAAGAAGTAAAAAGAATACATTTTTGGGTAGATTTTGATTACACATAATAAGTTTTGCTCAGTAAAGTGAAATACAGGCTGGTTCACCAGCCTTGTGTTTCTCAGAACCCCCCAGACAAAAGAAAGGATTTGCTACCTAAAAAAATGAAACTGTGAAAGAGGATCTCAAATAAACCTGTGTTACCATAAACAACAACACTGTCAAGAATTTCTTCTTAAGATCTAATTCTAACCCTGCCCTCTATCAGTTTGAAGCCATTCCCCCTTGTCCTGTCACTCCAGGCCCTTGTCCAAAGCCCCTTCCAGCCCCTTTAGGCACTGGAAGGTGCTCCAAGGTCTCCTCAGAACCTTCTCTTCTCCAGGATGAAGAACCCCAGCTCTCTCAGCCTGTCACTAAATTCACTACATGCAGAGTTTTAAATTGCAAAGTCCAATTGCTATAATCACTGCTGATTTTAGAGAAATACTTGTATTTCTAGTGAATTCTAACATATCCAAATTAAAGTTAATTTTTCAAAAGGTTCTGTACTCACCAACACACAGTAATTTCTAATATACTCTATAACACTGTAAACAGTTCAGTATTGCTCAGAAAGTGCACTTTTAAAGCTGCTAGGAAAGCAAAATAGTTTCTTTACGCTGTGTTTCCAATTTTGACAGAATAACATAAAAATCATTAAAAGGAAAAGACACCTTTGCAATGGGATTACCTGTGTGACATCAGTAACATCAATGAAGTTAGCTCCTGGGAGCTTTGTGTCTTCCTCTTCACTGTGTATTTCTTCTGGAGCCTTACAAAGACAGATTGCAGTTGTTAGGTATTTCATTTTGGGGGGGTGGAAATGCATTAACAGGAAAACTTCATTACAAGAATCAACTAAATCACACCTTCCACTATCCCAGGGTGCTCCAAGCCCTGTCCAGCCTGGCCTGGGACACTTCCAGGGATGGGGCAGCCCCAGCTTCTGTGGGCAGCCTGTGCCTCAGCAGCCTCACAATCCAAGATTTCTTCTTGATATCCAATCTGAACCTACTCTCTGTCAGTTTGAAGCCATTCCCCCTTGTCCTTACTCCTGTAAATAGTCTCTCTCTTTCTTGTAGGGTCCCTTCAGGTACTGGAAGGTCACCCCAAAGCCTTCTCTTCTCCAGACTCAACAATCCCAATTCTCCCAGCCTTTCCTCAAAGGAGAGGAGCTCCATCTCTCTAATCAACTTGCTGGGATGGAATAATAGAATTTTAAATACAAATCACTATTTTTGTCCACAATATCTGTCTGACTCAGTGAATACCATCACAGGACTCTGGAGGACCTAACTCCTGAAGTGAGGAAAATGGAATGTACAATACCCACACAAAAATAATCACTGCCTCACCAAGCCTTCTCACACCCTGTCCTGATCCCTCAGCACACAGCAGTTACCCTTAGAGCTGCACAAAAACCACCCCTGCTGCTCACATCAAGATTAAAAACACTTCTGAAAAGTTGTAGGGAAAGAGAAAAGAGTGGCCACTACACCACCACAGGCTCCTGGGGCTCAGTGCCCACACCACTGACCACTCCAGAAGAGCCAAGCAGCAGAAGGAGGGATGAGGAACACCCTCAGAGCACTGAAGCCAGTGAAAACAAGACAGGCATGGGCCAACAGGGATAATAATTCTTTACAGGATACATGAACACTGTTTTTCTTAAGCATTTTACCATGGTGGCAATTTAATCTTGGCAGAAGGCATCTTTCTACAATTTTTCATTTTCTTAAACAAATACCTTGTACTATAAATTCTTTAGAATAATTATTCATTTTTTCTAGAACTGTCTCATTTCTCTAACTAAAGAAAGACAATGAGAACTTTGCAGCAATTTAACATATTTTCCTTTTGAGCAAGTTTGAATTGCCAGACAATCAGTACCTGTATTACAGCATTGACAAGAGGGAGCAGAGGCTCAGAGCCTGGAGGAACAGGACTTACACTCCCACTGGCACTTGAAACACTGTCAATATCAACATTTGGTAATACCTAGGACAGAAAAAAAAAAGCATCAATAAAAAAATCTACATACTAGCTTAGCTATTATCATTGAACTTTTTAGATTTTTTTCTTCCACATGCTTCTGAGCCACTAAAATTCAGTGCTCACCTTTTCTCATGCCTGTATCTGGTATCAGTATTGGTTCTGAAAATCAAATTACTGTAATGTCAAAAATTAACACAAGAAATAGTCCCTCTCCTCTTGTAGTTGTAGTACCTGATTCTCCTGTTCTCTAATTTCCTGACACTGTCTTGCATGGAACAGAAGGTGAGTGTAACTGTACTAATTAACTAAAATAGTCAGAGCAGAGGTGTGTTGGACCTGCAAGTAGTTTAGAAAATTACAATATAGTTTGTAATCAAGGCACATCCATTACAGCATTAAAATGTGTTGTATTTCTGTTAAGAACAAAGATTTCAATGCTTCATTCCTCTGGGAAAAGAAAAATCACCTTAAATATTTAAGAACTGGATGAAATAACAGCAAAATGTCAGTGGGTGGAATGAAGTGACACAGCAAGGGAACAAAGCACAGAACACCCTACCTGTGTTTAACTCTGAGTTCCATGAATCATTTGTGTCTGAAAGGTGTGGGGGAGAGTGGGTGCAGCCTCAACAAATGGAATCCAAAATAAGGAACATGTTAGAAACATTCACTTCCTTGACAACAGACTCATGTAAAAATGAAAACAACAAACCCCATCCCACAAGGAAAGGACTGCAAGGATTGATTAATCAGGAGTGAAACCCTTGGGTTGACAATCATGCTTGAAAAAGAAATCTTAAAGGCCAAAGCAATCATCCAAGAAAACTGACATTTATATTTATACTTCTTTTATTCCAAGTTTGTTCTGGCTCAAAAATCTCATTAAAAAAAAGAAAATGTAACATAAATTTTACAAATGCCCTGCATAGGTGACTTAGTGAAAAAATAGTTTTCTATTTCTTCCCTTTCTATTTTCTAATAAAGATAATTGTTAAAAGATGAATAAATATATTAATATAGCATGAGAACTGTTTGGTCCTTCCATTCCATATTTTTCTAATTCTTACTGAAAACCATCTACTGATGTCCAAGTCTGTTACTGATGGATCAGGCTGCCTGTAGTTAGCACTCATTAAAATAAACAAACAAATCATCATCACTCTTGACATGTACCTGCACAGAGAGCTGAGGTGGGTCCTTTTTCTCTGATCTCATCTCTATCACAGCTATATTTGGTTTTTTTACCTCGACTGGAGGCTTTGGTGGCACTTGAGGAAGAGAGGTTGTAACTGTGATAGGGTGTGGTTTATCTATGATTACTCCTGCAGTCTGCAGTGATGTGTTGCTGCTTTGGGTTTGACCTAAAGACAGTTGAAAACCAATTAAAACTTCATATATCCATCTCCAAAGGCAGGAAATTAATAAATTAATTAAAATTATATTCTGTGTGTTTTGAGATTCTGTGTGCAATTACAGACCAATTAAAAAGCCCCCTATGAACATTAGCTAAACTACAGTAATTCACCAGCTAATGTTAAGCTTTCCCAGTAGAAATTGTCAACTCAACACTACCCTTTTTAAAAATTATTCACTTTTCTTGACTCTGGTGACATCTACTGCTGAAAACAAGAATTGTGTTTGCCATTCAAAAACTACAGACCATCACACCCCAAGTACACTTGGTGTAACAACCCACAAATTTTTGTCTGAGACAGCCCTTTAAAAAAATAATTACCTTATTTCAATGCCTATATAATACTAACCCTTCTCAAAACAAGCCCTATATAAAGGTTCTATTGAAAATGCAAAAATCCAGAAGTCATGACAAGGAATTTACTGTGCTTGGCACAGTCCTACTGAAACTGTTGGGCTGAAGTCATAGCAAATGTTGAATCCAAGGGGGAGTGATTCAGTTCCTGAATACCAAACTGAAAGGAACATGAAGCCTAAAACCAAAATGAACCAAAACAGGTACAGCTAAGCAAGTAATTGCTCTGTCAGGGTGTCACCAGACATCCAGCACGAAGGATGAGGAAAACCAGAACATTTTCAACCAATCCCTCAGATTTCCTATGAGAAGGGCAGGTGCAAACCTCATGGAATGATTTGTGTGGCAAGAGACCTCAGAGATCACCTAATCCCAACCCCCAAACCATTGATTTAAGAAGATAAAAGTTGTATTTCCATGAAATAGCAGCAGTTAACCTGCACACAACCTGCTCCAGGTTATTTGCTCCTACCTAGTGGAACAGCCATGGGAATGAGGTGACCTTCCAGAGGACCCGAGGCAGCAGGGACATCCTGGCTGGGGCTGAAGAGGTACTGGCTCTGCTGGGCATACACAGGATTCTTCTTCCTGGGGCTGCTGATGACTTTCTGCGTGTGAGAGCAGGTCTGGGTCTTTGCTGACTTCACCTTTGTGCCTGAAACAAGAGCACACAAGCTGGAAAGGTCACAAAGCATGCACAAACCCAGTGACAACACTCTACTGAGCCAAGCCTTCCTACTGAATCCACTGCAAATTTTTGCTGTGGGATGGAGGGAATGAGGGAGGGAGTTCCAAAGGGCAGAACCTGAAAGATGTCTCCGTATTGGCAGCAATGAAGGAGTTAAAAATGCAATTTTTAGTTGAATCTAGCAGATAAGGGCAGAGAAACGTGAAAAGGACCAAAGGACAGCCATAAGTTGGAACAAAATGTGTGATTTAGCAGCTAAGAAGAAATCCAGGATGCAGGTTTGAAATGCAGCCACAAAATCGACAGGTACTCAGAGGAACAGGTATAATCTGAAAATTCCTGCTTTAACAACTCATTGCTACTGCAAAATCAAACCATAGCTAAAACCCAAAAGTCTTGACTTCCATCATGATTTTTTGGCCCAGCTTTTCAAGTGTATTGTAAATAGCCAGCCAGAAGTAATTTATATGTAAAAATGTCTTAAGCAAAGAGCAGAGGAGAGCATTTATTGCAATGTGCATTTCTCACCATACAGTCATGCAAGGTCTTATGCTGCTTACAGCAAACAATGAATATCATTAGGGAAATTATTACCTTTAATATAAATGAATAAAACTGCCTGAAAATTCCCCCCAAAAAGGTGTCAACAATTGTCAATCAGGCAGAAGTGCTTCTACTGTTATTTTGTAGGTGTTAGGGTAATGAATTTGGAAAGAAACATGCTGATAACCAACTCCATGCCTTTATAACAGCCAAAAAAATGTCATTTTACTCCTCTGTTGTTTCTAATAATCACCTCCCTGTACCTGCAGCCAGTCAACACGTAGCAACAAGCACTTCTTAGCTCTGTTCACATTTAAGAGCCTCCTAATTAATTGAAGAATGAAAGTCAATGATTATAAAACATAGGGAAAATAAAGATTGACTTTTGTTAGATGCAGACAAGCAGATAAAGTGGTATTTTTGTACAGACAAATTATGGGTTGTAGGCCTGGAAACAAGAGCAAGTCACAACTCCTCAGTGAGAAAACACAGGCCAGAAGAAGCATATCTAGGAAAGGGTTTATGGTTGTGTTGGGTAAGGAATGGAATGAGAAATCACAACACAATGCCTTGGTCAACAGGATAAATGTAACCCCCAGAGGTCTCAGCAGAATGTCTCAGATATGGAGCAAGAGAAGACTTCCATAAATGATAGCACTAATTCTGTACCTCTGCAAATATTAAAATAAATTAGACATTAATAAGCAATCTTCATTTTTTAAGGAAAAGTCACCTGGAAAATGAAGTAGCTGTAAACTGAAGCCAAAACCTCACTACAAATCAGATCATAAATCTGAAGTGTCCTGTTTGCTTTTGAAGCACAAGATATTTTGCCATGGGAAGAAGCAGAACTTCTTCTGTCTTTAAATGATGAGCTTATGCCTTTCTGCAAAGCACAGGTTAGCCCAAAAAACTGTTCTGCAGTCAGACAAACTACTGGCCTCTGTAACATAAATAGATACAGTTCAGAGGCTTGTGATTTAGAAGAGGTCATACCACATGATCTAACAGTCCCCCTTGGCCTTGAACTTTTGAGTAAAAGCAGGAATTGGCAGCGTATCTGTAATGCTGCCAACTTGCAAAAACAAGGTTTTCACAGTGAGAATGATTAAGTACTGTATACACACAGCACCTCATTTTAATTGCTTGCAACTTTTCATTTTTCTCTGCAAAGTTTATTTGCACTGGGCAGAAACTAGACATTTAATTAAACTTAGCTTTAGAAAAACAGTGTTTTACATGTATTTATCAGTTCATATTATGCAAGAAAATAATTCCAGCTTTTTTTTTTTAGAAATGATCTCTTACTCATAAAAGTGCTAGTTGAATTTTTTGCCTAACTTCCCATAAGAAACTAAGCATTAGTCACCATAGTTTATTTGCAAAGAAAATGGTTGAGAGTTATAAAATGACTGAAAAGAGACTCTCCAGATGGCCATTTCAGTCTTAAATAAACATCCTTATTCTAACACTAATTTAAAACAAGCTCAGTGGACTGCTCTAACAAAATAAAGTAATTTAACGAGTCTGGATTTTTCAGCCAATCAAACCCAAGGCCAAAGACTGACAATAATTTTGAAGCCTTTATCACCTGGTACATCAAGGCCAGGAAGGGAATCTGTGAAGGGAAGAACTCATCATGCCTAAGGTGAAAGAGATTTGTTGATTTCCTCCTTTGTTTTTTTAAAAACTTGGTGCTTTGAAGTGCTCATTCAACCTTGGTGCATTTTATTTACACTCCTCCTGTAGAGGAGCACAGAACTATTCCTGATTTTATTATTTATACTTTGCTTTGCCATAACAGCTTCTTCCCAAAGAGCAGCCCCCAAAATGATGGAACTGGTTTGTCTTTGTGAGTCCCACATGAAACACCACGGATTATTTTTCCATTTTATTGGCAAGGTAAGAAAAGGACAAAAATCAAGCAGTTTGACCAACAGTCTCACCAAGAGGCAAAGATAAATAATGCCAGTATCAAACAAACCTCAGTTTCAGTTAAAATCAGAAAGCTTGGGAGTAGGACACACTCACTGGAGTGCTGCTCCTTTACACAATGTGCAAAAAATTCTATTTTTCCTTCAGATAAGAACACAAGGAGGTGCCTTATTTTATTTACTGCCAGGATAGAGACAAAACCATAACTTCCATAACTCCAGCCTGATATTAAATAGAGAAACAAATTTTATGGTGGCTTTACTGTTGCAAACACACGTTTTTGTTCCTGCAGCATGACTTCATGGCTTGGAAGGGAAGCACTGTGGAAAAAGGCTATCCAGAGTTCACTCTGTTTGCCAGCAAAGAGCTTTGAAGCTGTTTGTCACACGCAGGAGCTCTGCAAGATTGAAGGCAGCATTGATCCAGTGCAGTTTTCCCTTTCATTTCTATTTGCCCCCAAGAGAAAAAAGCTGAAGCACAGGAGCAGCTCGTTCCAGCTGCACAGAAGCTGCACCTTTCCATGTCACTGAATTTCAGCTGGTGGTTTCAAATGATCAAATGGCCTATTTGTTATAATTAGACTGGGGAGGGGGGCACTCTTTCTGCCACTTCACAAAATATTGTTTCTGGAATGATGAAATTGGCCTTCCTGGAAAGGTTATGACCTTCTGTAAAAGACAAGAGGCCAATAAATACAGAAGAAAATTCATTTAGGACTCAGCAAAAGCAGAACTGCTGATTAAATATTTTTAAAGAAGTGTCTGTTCTCAATCCAAATTTTAGTGGTCACTGTTATTACTACCCTAAGTGCTTACTAGCACACATTTCACCCAAAAAGATCTATACAGAATAAATTAAATTATGGTTGCACAGCACGGCCAATAGTCAAAACCAGTGTTATATCGTGCCTCAAGTGAGTATAACAGAGGATACACTATTTTTCACCAAAGCAAAGTCATCCAAGAGAGGGCAAAAAAAATACCTAAGTCACAAGGCTGGCAGTTTTGATGTGACCTTTTAAAAAAATGGTGAGTTTTGAAAAGTTTTCTAGGTTTTTTGCCAGGGCTATAACCCACATTTTCCAGGAGGGTGTTGAGAATTGGGAATAATGTCTACCAATAACACTTTCTCTTCACAGATCACAACTGGGCTCCAGAGCACAGGTAAGGAAAAGTGCCATAAAGGCCAGCTCAGGCCAAACAAGAGATTCTTGCACTATTTTGAGGACTTGCCACTGTGGATGTACATCTTAACCACAGAATCACAGGAGGGTTTGGGTTGGAAGGAATCTTCAGGATCAAGCAGTTCTGACCTCCTGCCATGGGCACCTTCCACTAGACCATTATTATTTTAGTAATATTAAAATAAATAAATTAAAAAACCCCATATTTTTGCTTTAAAATATCCAGCCTCAAATAATAACAACAACAATAATAATAATAATGATGATGATTAAAATGATGATGTTTTAAAATCCCCTGCCTCAAACCTCAGCACTGCCTGTCTTCAGAAACACAGATATGTTTTACACCACCCATTGCAATGGCCTAAAAACATGATTTCATCAAGTGACTGGCTGCCTTCTGATGTTAATCTCTCATATTTCACACAGAATGTAATGTTTTGACAGCTGTAATAAAAACCCAGGCAGCATTTTAAAACATGGCATTTAAGACTGCATCAAGTATATTTTCCCTGCATGGGTAACAACAGCCTAAGTGCAAGAAGCATGGAGGGAGCCAGTTAATATTTTTCCATAGGTGCACATCTTATTAACTCCATTGTGCCCACCACCATCTTAACCACCTCTTCCTCTTAAGCCTCTCTCCCACCTCCACACTTTCCCTTCATCATTATCTTTTTTCATGTCATTTCTCTCCAGTAAAATTATCCACACTGTTTTTTTTTAATACCAATTAAAGATTATTCTTAGTTTTTGCATCAAGAATCAGTTAAGTTTTGAAAAGGTAATTAAGAACTAAAACAGATCCAGTTAAAACATTACTAACTCTAGATTAAGTTTATCTACACTGACCTATGTCAGATATCATCTAGTCTCCTTCTGTAATTATTCTTACACATTTTTATTAGTTAGAAAATTAGGAGCCTCTTATCCTAACACTTTGCCAACAAAACTAAGGAACAGAATTCATTATTAACCAACTAATAACCTTTATCAGTTCAATAACCTTAACAAGCTATCACAGAAAGGATTTCTCTTCTGCTTATAACTCTAACTGGATGGAGAAAAAGGAGTTACTTGCACTTAGTGAACTTAATCAATTATTCTGATTACATCTTTCAATATTTTCATCTTCATGCCCATATATTTAATTTTTCATATTTCAATTTATTCATTTGAAACAAGAAACTAAATATCAGACTTCTTTCAGTTTTCAAGTCTCAGTACATTTCTGAACTCTGAATGACTTAAATATTTAAATGAAAAATCACTGGATAAACTTGACACAAAAATACATCTCCCAGTGACCTTTATAAAAAACTAAGTTCATTTTCCAACACACTCACTTGTGATTAATTTTAGCAATTCAGCTCATTAAATCTTGGACAACAATAAACACATACTAATACATTTATCATATTTAGAAATAAGTGTTTATTTGACAATCTAAAATAAGCAAGAGACACCTTAAGCAAAGCTGAAAAACTTCTGGTGTTTTTTAGTTTTGAAAAGAGGATCTTAAATAAACTATTTCAAATGGACAGGACCTAGAACAACCATCTAGTCCAACTGCCTGACCAAAAATTAAATTTTGAGGGCTGACCAAAAATTAAATGAAAGGCATTTTCCAAATGCCTCTTAAGCCCTGACCAACCTGAGGCAGTGACCACCTCTCTGAAAAGCCACTGCAGTTGCTTAAACTTCATATTGAAAAGCAGATGAACTAAAATGAACAGATTCATTTTCACAAGGAATTCCTGGTAAAAAAACTGGGAAGGAACACCTTATTCCCATCAAAGAATCACTTACCTCTAACAGTCTCTATCAGCTTGGGTCTGGGCAGTTTAGATTTGGGAGAGGGAGAGTTAAATCTCAGGTAAGGTCCTTTTTTAAGCGTACTCCGGTGGCCCTGGTAAATGGGTTTTCCATAAACTTGAGACAGATAATCTTCATATGTGGTCAGTGTAGTTCCACCTACAGCTCCCTGATGGACGCCAAAAAGGAAAAAAAAAAGTCGTTTACAATTCTTCATTTATGTAAATTGGAGCAGGACAAAGCTATCACTTTCATTTTGAATTAGTACACCTGCACACACCATTTTTCATGTCAATACTAAACAGTTTTTTTTCCCAGAAAATAAACCAACTACTTGACAACTCACATCTCCCCTTCTTTCTTTACTCTTCACATTTTCAGAAAAGTAAGTTCTAAACTTCTGTTTCCTTGTGTTATCTTCCACTTCCTTCTGCAATGGCTTAGCTACAGGTAAAGGCTTTTTTGTCAAGCATCCTTGGACGTTTTGAGTTTTCTCTTTAGTTTCTTTCTTGGTCTTCGCAGCCCTGAGGTTTTGGGTTTTCTTGGTACATTTCTGATCATGTTTCCCTCGTTCTGAATAATTTCTTGCCATTTCAGCCTAAATAGAAAACATAAATGTAATAAATGGAAATTTTTGTCTTCAAGGTTATCAGCAATGCATGGGTAACTTTGAAGCTATGAGAAAGGGCCTATTTTTCATGTTAGCCAGCAAGTGAGACCAGGGGTTTTTATTACATAACTGCAGTTTTACAACAGAGGTAAATATTTTATTTTTAATTTATTTATTTATCAATTATTATTATTATTTATTTGTTATATTTATTTTACTATAGCTTACTATATGCCAGCAATAATAAGCAGCTTTCTCATGTTTTCAGGAGGTGAGTAAATCACTTTACTGTGGACGTGAAAGAACAAGGTCAAGGTGGAAAAACCCAACACAAAAATCTGAACTCATTTTTCCAGCCCTACCTGGATTTCCTCACTGATTTCCTTGATCCTCTCATCCACAGTTCTTCGGATACGAATCTCTTCCAGGACATCTCTGAAACAGAAGAAAGAACCATTTTAGGTCAATGCTTCTCAAATTGCACAGATTTGTTCTTGGGAAAGTAGTGACCTTTAAATGCTCTAAAACCAGAAGCCCAGAACACAGAAGTGAGATTCTGCACCTCTGCATTCCCTAAAATGCACCAAACACATTGAGAGTCCCAACCCCAAATCTGCTCCTGCATGGTGCCACCTGCAAACCCCACTCCCTGCTGGTAAATACTGACATCATTACAAATATTTTAGGAATAAGAGGCAGCCACGTGTCACTTCCTACTTTGATCACAACTGAAAAAACAAGAAAACAAAAATATTCCAACTTAACAAATTACTACATTGTCTAAAAGATGAGGGCAGGTAACATGCCTCAAAAAAAATCCTTATGCATACAGAATAGCTACCTTCCTCAGGAAAATGCAAATTTATATTGTATTTTTTTAAATAGAAAATTTCCATTATGATTCAAGCAGGAGTATTTAACACAACTAACAAAGCAAAAGTTCCAAAGCCAAAGATCTGTTGCAAGATGATTAAATTCTGTACATTTACAGGCTTATGAAGCCTCTTCTGCTCTGAATAATTAAATTAGGGTTCAATTTTCTTCTAAATGCATGTTGGTATGGAAACAGTTAAATGCCCTGGCAGCAGAGCAGTTTGTCCAGTGTTAAAGCCTAAGAAATCAGATTTAGGCACCTGACAAAAATCAGTTCATACCACAAGGGTCGAAAAAATCTGTATTTCAAGAATCAGATGATTGCTAGCAAGAGTCAATAAATCCTTTTTGCAGGGAAGAACACAAGTTCTTCAATGCCCAGATTTGGAAACATCAATCTCACAAAGCACTGAATTGTAGACTCTGACCTGTTTGTAGTCAAGGAGCTACTGAAAGCATAGATGGCATCTCCATCTTTTGCATGACTAACAGCTTCCAGATTCTCCTCAAGGACTTTTTTATTGTTTTGCACTCCTCTCAAAATCCTTTCAGCATCTGTCAGTATAGACCTTGGCACTTGGATATTTTGAAGGATGGATGGTTTGCTGACGAGATGATGTTCAGGAGGATCAGGTGCAACAGGAGGATTTTTTGCCTAAAATTGAAAGAGAACCACTAGCTTTTAATCAGAGATTGTAATTTCCTATTAATCTATTATCACATCAATGCCATCATATGAAATACTGCCCATGTGCACTATCAGCAACTTAATTACTCAAGAATGTTCATTATGCTGCAAATATATTTAGAGAAGTGAAAGACATCCAAAAGGACTCAAATGGAAAATGATGTGAAGTATGAGAGGCAATGCTAATGAGGCTAATAAGCATGTGAAAAGATGGCAATTAGAGACATGAAGTATCACAAGCAAATCTCTCCATGTAACAGTAATTAAATATAATTAAGAGCCTAATAAAAGCCCAAGTCCTCTAAATATATGCACTTGTTTGGCATCAATCTACCCCCAAGAAACACCAAGCAAAACTTATAAGTTTTAACACGATAAATCCCTCAGCAGCCCCTTGATCCTCTTTTACTTTTACTCATTTTCACTTTCCAGAAGGAACAATGAAACCTCTCACTTTGCAGAACCCTTTTACAGAGATAAAAATCGAGCATAAATTAGCTGCTAAGTACAAAAGAAAGGGACACAAACACAGGAAACAAGTTCTTACATTCATTCTCACACTCCTGAGAAAAAACCCAGAGGCCCATTAAAACTTCATCAAATAGTAAAAAAATTCAAAGCGATAAATGTACATTTAAAAAAACCAAAAAAACAAACAAACAAAAAAAACACCTCAAACCAAAACCAAAATGCCCAGACTTGAGTAGACCCTGAAAACATCAACTGAAAGAACAGAAAAAAAAATCTCACAGATCACAACTCAGTTTTGGCTTTAAGGTTACTTTTTTGTCAAATCAAAATGAAACAAAAGTTTATGTTCAAGGCAATATACCAAGTTATTTATCAATTTTATATTGGCTTTCATTTTAAAATGAAACTTTTTGACAAATACTAACTCAGTAAGACAGGTAAAATCTGTGAGAAAAGGTAAGAAATATTGATATACGATTGTAAAATGGTGTGGACTTGCTAGTGAAACCCAGATCATGAAATGGTACCTGGATCTGTTAAATATGTAAAAAATGCTGCCCACACTGTGCCAATCTGACACAGCAGCTTCCTGCAAACACACTCAAAACTGCTTCAGCATTTGAGTATTTTATAGAAAGCTCAAAACCCCACAAAAGAAACACACATAAAAAAATCAAGGTATACCTTAATAAGATCATTCATGTCAGATTTCCATGTACTTGCTTCCTAAAAAGACAGAAGAAGAGCTGTTGAAACTTTAAGGTAAAATCCATAGGAGATACTGGATCAGTTCCTCTGGCCACAATGAATTCCTTGGGTTAGAGCACCACCTTCTGTCTCTGCCAATTCACACCTTTGCTTTATTACAGAGATGGTTTATAATTCACCCAAAAACTTATCATTATCTCACTTTCAAACCTCTCAATGATGAGGAGTCAGTAGCTAAATGTTTAATTGACCCAACTCTGCATTTGTTAAGTCATCACATCTGTCTTTTTATTGACCTTTTTCATAAAAGAGATTTCAAATAATTTCTCTAACTGTGTCTTTCTCCCATTCCTTATCCCGTCTCATCTTGCTCTGTTGCCTGTACTAAGGTATGTGATTTATTTAAGTTTTTAGCAATAGTGGTAAGAAAATATTTGCAACCTCAGTGGGGCACAAGGCACCTGTTCCATTCTTAATAATAATAGTTAAATTTAAAATCCACAAAGTGTTACAAAATCTATAAAAAATACATCAGCTATGCTATATGACAGATGAGGCTGCCTTTTCTACAGATATAGCAACAAAAACCAGACAGGTAATACAAAATATTTTTTTAGGGAAATATGCAAGTTAAAACTTCCAACCACAGAAATGAACCAGCAAAATCAAAGTTATTACATTTCAAGCCAATTCACAGAGGTGAATTTTCAAGCTTTTCTCCTTTCTCACTGTGTGTATTGACAAGGACAGAAAGGACCACAGCACACAGGTGGAGCCAGGAATGGCACCAGAGTAAGAGATAAAAGCCTCAGTTGTCACAAGCTCAGAAGCAGATCTTGCACCCTCAAAGGAACAAAATCAGTAGCACAAGAAACAGCACAAGGATTCTATGCCAGGCACTTCCTTGGAAACAGCACTCAATACAAAAAAAAAAGTGGCAAAATGAGAAAGGAAATGTTTAAATCAGCCCTAAAGCTGGCTGGAGATAAATGGAACATTGTTTTTTTCCCAAATGGGAAAATTACATCAGCTCTGTAGTTCTGCAGAGAACAGGGACTGAAAATATCCAAAACCTTAAAACAAACAATTTTATTTTTTTTTTTCTCTTTCTGTCCTTTCCTGTCTCTCACCTATTTTATGTCTGGGACAATGGCAATCAGAGTCCATTGCACACCCAGAACATTAGTCAGGCACAAAGCTCTTCCAGGCACAGAGATTCCAATATTTCAATTAATTGTAAACAGATGTGGATAATTTTACAGGTGTAGAAGCAAGAGCAACACTTTTATTAGTATCAGACCTCTATGCTTTTCTCCACATTTTTTATTCCCCTTCTTCAAACCCTTGCTTATTGTGATTAGACTGACTTTACCTGCAGAATGTTGTGCATTTCTCTTCTCAACTTGCCAAGATCTTGAAGTAAATGATCTGCTTTTTGCACTGTTTTCTCAATTGAACTGTAGCTTTCAAAAGAAGAAATTGCATCTGGAGGCAAAGCTTTGTGTCTGAGGGGAGAAACACTTCAGGTTACACCTCTCATGGCTCCTGAGGTGCCCCAAGAAAGCATTCAACTGTGAAACCAAGCAGGAATTTACAGTGCAAGTACCAAAGCTTTAGATAAACTGGAACTTGCTTTGGCATCTTAAGTAATATAGAGGTTTTTGGGTTTTCTCTGTTTACCACTTAACACCTTCAGCCCAATCCTTTTTATTTTCAATAGTGAAATTACATCTAATAGAGCAACATTTAAACTCTGGATATCTTTCCATTTGAAGCAATTAAGATCTTTCTGCATTCTGTTCTAAATTAGACAGCATATATGAGAAGTTTCTCACTGTATTAATGAAATTTTAACTTTAAATTATTGCCTGGGGAAAATATGCTTCAGAGTGCATGGCTAAGAACATTTTTTCACCCATTTTAAATCTTAGGAATTGTTAGGTGGATGATGCTCCTGTAAAACACTCCAAGTGCAACCTGCTGACCTCTGAGAAAGGTGTTCTGAGCTATCCTTAGGCAAAAAGGATAGACTTAATCTGCCTGCAATTCAACAGAACCAGAGAATCCTGGAATATTAGAGCTGGAAGGGACCCACAAGGATCAGAATCCAACTCCTGGCCCTGCACAGACACCCCAACAATGCAACCCTGTCCCTGAGTGTTGTCCAAAGTCTCAGAACTCTGTCAAGCTTGGGGCTGTGCCCATTCCCCTGGGGAGCCTGGGCAGTGCCCAGAACCCTCTGGGGGAAAAAACCTTTTCCTGATATCCAACCTAAACCTGCCCTGGCACAGCTGCAGCTGTTCCCTCGGGTCCTGCCAAAAGTAATGCCAACAGAAATACTCCTGCACAGCTGTGCCAGGCTGCAGGGCCACACCAGTGACTGGTACAGCATCAGTGTCTAATGCACCTCTCCCAGTTTCATGGAAACACAAACTTCTCCTCAGTTTTGGGTTGTTGTGTTTATCCACCTGTGTCTCTCAGAATGCCAGCTCCTTTC